GACTCCTGTCAATGACTCAATGACAATGATCACCTGACTAGTATGCATCAGAGATGGACTTTGAATCTAGGTCTTTCTGACTCCAATGTCAGTTCTCCATCTATTATACCAGGCTGCTAGAAATGAATAGATTTCAACTTCTTCCTTCCCTCAGAATGTTCTCAGTTTTTGCCATTTAAGACAAAGGGCTACTTTAAGCAAGGTTACATGGTGTGGCAGGAAGAAATAATTTGCAAATAAGTAAATACTATAGTGGTATGCAAATTATTTCAGACAAGCAATAATTTTGATGTGATTTCATTTTGTAACAGTAGTAATCATTCCATTTTGCTTCTAATGACACCAGGCTAAGTCAGAATATCTGACCATAACCAGATCAACCCAAATTGAGTTAATTTCCCTACCTTTAGCTATTTCTCTGTAACCTGAATGCTCTTAGACTTCATAACACACACATGTTTAATTGTTCTCTTTTGTTGTTTTTAATTCTGAATTTTAAAAGAATATATATTGTTCTAAGGCACCATATAAAAGTTGTAGTTCTTAAAGAGCATATTTCAATGACTATTAGAGATATTACAATTAATGTTGGTATGGGGAAGTCAAGCAGTTCAAATCATTTTTACACAATGAAACAGGATCAGTTCTACCAAGGGACAAACAAAGGGTTGATTAAAAGTTAAAAATAATGTTGAGAACTTACAAATTATTACTGCAAAACACCTGGATTAATTTTCAGATAATAGGCAAAGATTTTCAAAGGCATTTGGAAGCCAGAGGGGTTGGTATTGATCCCTTTAGAGTACATAGGCTTCTTGAATTTGGAAAAAATAGCAAGAAGACCTTTAAAAAAAATCGACTGCTAACCATGGCTATGGAGAAAAAAATCTTGTCACGGACAAGATGATACAATGCCTGGAGTACTAAAGATCAGAAAAAGGTAATTTTTACTGATGAAACTCACTTTTTTATTCAAGGCTATACCAAAATCATTGTCAGAAGAAATTCAGGTGACTGAGTTGCTTTATCAAACTGTAAAAAATATATACTCCCCAAAAGATTAGGGAACTTTTGTACTTCTAGTGAAACTTAACCTCACTGAAGGAATAATGAACTATGATCATTATATCGATATACTGAAGTCAAAATGATTTGAGTTCTAATCCTTACTTAGACATGTTTACTAGCTGTGTAAATTTAAGGAAGTCATTCCTTCTCTTTTACCCTCAGAAAAATAAGGATAATAATAGCATCTACCTTAGAAGATTGTTTGAGGATCAAATTATACATATGTTATATATGCAAAACTTCAAGTGCTATGTAAATGCTAGTTGTTACTTTCGTTATTGTTGCTACAATTATTATGGATTTATAGGCATTCACAAAAGGAGATATAATACTATAAAATGACCTTTTACCATGTTCTACATCATGAAAAGTTGAAAAATTTATCCAAGAGATGGGGATGAGCATACTTCAATGACCTGGGAGCTTACCTTATTTAAACCTCACTGAAAACCAATGAGGTGGCCAGACTTGGAAAAATTAACTATTCAGAGCATCAGGCAGATCCAACACAGTGGATTAGGGGTAGCCACCCAGCTGAACTCTCTCAACATTCCCCTCCAAACAACTTTAAATAATGCCTCAAATCAAATTTTGGATTGGCAGAGCCAACAAAAGGTCAGAATAAGACATTTTTCTGGCCCAAGGCAACTTGAGAACTTGGCAGGAGAAGTCTTTGCTTCCAGGGTGTAGGCCTGTCTGTGGAGTCAGCAACATCGGCCACCACTGATGCCACAGCAGCCACAGCAGCCACAGCAGTAGCTTCAGGAGCTCTCAGCATAGAGACACTAAGGGGTCAAACAACTGGTCAGAAAGAGATTAGTGGAGACTCTTTGCTGGCACTGGGTACAGATGGTACTGATTGACAACTCCATTGTCTATAGCAGGTTTGGATCAAAGTTCCAGAGTGGAGAAGAGTGCTAATGTTCAGTCACAAGGGAGCAGGGGCTCTGGTCACAGTATCACAGCAGAGAGGAGTGCTAGCATGTGCAGCTCCAGGGGATCAAGGGCCCTTATTGGGTAAAACCAGAGTACAGACCCAGGAGAGCAGTGACCATACCTCTCACAGGATCACACCACCTTGGAAGCACTAAAAACTTGCAAACCCCCAGAACTAGCTCTGAAAAGAGCAGCACAACAAAGCCTGAAGCTTGGGACAATTCCTCCCCACCTCCAGGTGAGTAGAGCTCAACTTTAACATAAAGTTCAAAGTCAAGAAATATGCTAGAAAATGAGCAAACAAACAAACAAAAAAGGAATTTGACATAAAAAGTTACTATGGTGGCAGGGAAGACCAAGACATAAACTCAGAAGATGTCAGTGTGAAAATGCCTACAACCAAAGCCTCAAAGAAAAATTATAATTGGACCCAAACCCAACAAGAATTCCTAGAAGAAGGAGCAGCTAGGTGGCGCAGTAAATACAGCACCAGCCCTGAAATCAGGAGGACCCGAGTTCAAATCCAGCCTCAGACCAAACACTTGACACTTACTAGCTGAGTGACCCTGGGCAAGTCACTTAACCCCAATTGCCTAAAAAAAAAAAAAGGAATTCCTAGAAGAGTTAAAGAAAGAGATAATGGTAGTAGAGGAAAAATTGGGAAAAGAAATAGAGCTATGCAAGAAAATTATGAAAAGAAAATTAATGATTTGGTAAAAAGAGGCCCAAAAATACTGAAGAAAATAACACATTAAAAAACAGAATTGTCCAAATATAAAAAGAAGTGCAAAAATTCACTGAAGAAAAGAACTCCTTAAAAAGCAGAATTAGCCAAATGAAAAAAAAAGTACAAAAGTTCACTGAAGAAAAAAAAATGGAAGAAAATGTGAAATATCCCACGGAAAAACAACTGACCTAGAAAATAGATTGAGGAGAGACCATTTAAGAATTATTAGACTACCTGAAAGCCATGATCAAAGAAAGAGCCAAAACATTATATTTCAAAAAATTATTAAGAAAAATTGCCCTAATATCTTAGATCCAGAGAATAAAATAAAAATTGAAAGAATCCATTGATTACCACCTGAAAAAGATCTCAAAATGCAAACTCTCAAGAGTATTCTAGAGTTCCCAGGTCAAAGAGAAAATACTTTGAGCAGCTAGAAAAAAGCAATTCAAATATCATGGAGCCACAGTCAGGATCACACAAGATTTAGCAGTTTCCATGTTAAAGGAGCAGAGGGCTTGGAATGATATTCCAGAAGGCAAAGGAGTTAGGACTATAATAGCAGCAGTGACCCAGTAAAACTGAGTGTAATCCTTTGGGGGGAAAATTGATATTTAATAAAATAGAGGACTTTCAAGCATTCCTGACAAAAAGACAAGAACTGAATAGAAAATTTGACATTTTAACAGAAGACTCAAGGTAAACACGAAAGAGAAATCGTAAGGGTCTCAATAAAGTTAAACAATTTACATTCCTATGTGGGAAGATGATACATGTAACTCCTAAGAACTATACCATTATTAGGGGTATACATATATTAGGGGTATTAGGAGTATAGACAGAGGGCATGGGTGTGAGTCAATTACGTTGGAATGATCTCCAAAAAAATGAAGGTGTGAAAAAGAAGGATGCACTTGGAGAAGGGGGAAAGGAGGGACAGAAGGGGAAATTTTTTCTCACATAAAAGAGGAATGCAAGGAAGAGCTTTTACAATGGAAGGGAAAATGGGGGAAAGATGACAGGCAATGCTTGAACCTCACTGTCATTGGAATTGGTTCAAAGAGGGAAGAATACATACATACATACATACACACACACACACACACACACACACACATGCATGCACAGTTGTGTATAGAAATGCAACTTACCCAATAGGGAAATAGGAGGGGAAAGGGATAAGAGAAATGGGGGAAGAAGTAGAAATGATAAAAGGAAAGACAGATTAAGGGAGGCAGTGATTAGAAGCAAAATGGAATTTTGAGGAGAAATGGGGGTGGGGGAAGAGAGAGAGAGGAAGAAACTGGGATTAGTAATCATAACCATGAATGTAAAAGGGATGAATTCACTCATAAAATGGGAGCAGATAGCCAAATAGATTAGAAACCAGAATCCAACAATATGTTGTTTACGAGAGACACATTTGAAACAGAAGGACACACAGAGAGTTAAAATAAAAGGCTGAAGTAAAAAAGGCAGGGGTAGTAATCATGATCTCAGACAAAGTAAAAGTCAAAATGGCCCTAATTAAAAGAGATAATCAGGAGAAACTACATTTTTCTAAAAGATGCTGTAGACAATGAAGTAACATAAAACTTTTTACAGCAAGTTTCTCTGATAAGGGCCTCATTTCTCAAATATATACTGAGTATAGAACTCAGTCAAACTAATGCAAAGTGAAATGAGAAGAACTGGCAGATCATTGTACATTGTAACAGTAACATTGCAATGATGTTCAACCATGAAAGACTCTGCTACTCTGATCGATACAATTATCCAAGACAATTCCAAAGGACTCATGATTAAAAAAATGCTATCCATCAAAGAGAGAAATAGTGAACTCTGAGTACAAATTGAAGTACAATTTTCTTACTTTTGTTTTTGCTTTTTTAAAAAAATATAGCTAATGTGGAAATATGTTTTGCATGATTTAACATGTATAATTGATATCATAATGCTTGCCTTTTCAGTGAGTGGGAGAGAGGGTGGGATGGAGGGAGAGAATTTGGAATTCAAAATCTAAAAAGAAGAAAGTTCAAATACATTAAAATGATTAAAAAAAAGAAAAATGAACTGTTCATCAAAGGTGATAAAAGTATGGTTTCATGATGAAGTAAATACTGTAAGTGAAAAACCTGTGAACTCAATGCCAAATTGTGTAAAACAGGTAATTGAAACAAAGGGAGAAAATACTGCCTATCAAAAGTGTTTGTGATGATGCAAAGGTTTATTACAAGTTTTATTATTTTATTTTATTCCAGTAAATTCAAACACTGTAAATATGAGATTATAACATTAGCCTTCATATATTTAAGGGTTTAGCTCTTCCTTCCTTTCAAATTTCAGATTAGATACTCTCAGTAACTTTGATCCAAGGAAATAAGGACTTGGCAACAAGGCAATTGAGAGAACACCGCTCTGACAAATTCACACTTCCCATGTCCAGCCCCTGTAGCCATCAAGACTCTAGTCTTTTATCTGTGGACTTTATCTGCCCTGGAAAAGACAAAATGTATTCCAAATTCAGGATCATTTGCTGCCATCAAGTTTCCATTTCAAAACAAACAAACAAAAATAAATAGGATGTGAAGGGAAGATTATACAGGAAACACGTTTTCCTACACATTTTTCTTAATTTCCTTCTCAAGACATGAGGTAGAGAAAACAATGCAAATAAAGAATCTAAATAAATACTCATTTCCAATTGACAATGTCATTCAGTCTAGCTATAAGACAATTCTATGGCATAACTATGCTATTGGCAGCATTTGACGCACATCTGATATGGGAAAACCAAAGCATCTGGGAATGGGCTTTAGAATTCATATTCTTAAAATGACTTCACCTCAGATGAAGAAATCAAAACTCTGTAGTCATAAGAAAAAGTGCTGTAAATCATTATTAATTAGAGAAATGCAAATTAAAACAACTCTGAGGTACCACCTCACACCTAGCAGATTGGCTAATATGACAGAAAAGGAAAATTATAAATGCTGAAGGGGATGTGGAAAAATTGGGATATGAATACACTGTTGGTGGAGTTGTGAACTAATTCAGCAGTTCTGAAGAGCCATTTGGAACTATGCCCAAGTGGCTATAAAACTGTGCATACCCTTTGATCCAGCAATACTACTACTAGGTCTGTATCCTGTAGAGATTTTTTAGAAAAGGGAAAGGGATTTATTGTATAAAAATATTTACAGCAGTTCTTCTTGTGGTGGCAAAGAACTGGAAATTGAGGGAATGCCCACAATTGGGGAATGGCTAAAGAAGTTATGATATGTGACTGTAATTGAATACTATTGTGCTATAAAAAAATGACAAGCAGACAGACTCAAAAACAAACAAACAACCTGGATTTACATGAACTGATACAAAGTGGAGTAAGCAGGACCAGGAGAACATTTTACACAGTAACAGCAACATTGTACAATGATCAACTATGAATGACTTAGCTATTCTTGGCAATACAATGATTCAAGACAATTCCAAAGGACTCATAAAGAAAAATGCTATATATACCCAGAGAAAGAACTGATAGAGTCTAAATGCAGTTCAAAGCATACTATTTTCACTTTTAAAAACTTTTCCATGTTTTTTTTTCTTTTGGTCTGTGCCTTCTTTCACAACATGACTAATATGGAAACATGTTTTACAAGATTGGCAAATATATAACCTACGTCAAATTGCTTATGGTCTCAGGGAGATGGGAGGGGAGGGAGGAAGAGATAAAATTTTGAACTCAAAAAAATTTTAAATGAATGTTAAAAATTGCCTTTATGGGTAATTAGGAAAAAATGAATACTATTATAAAATAAAAAATGATTTCATCTCCTCTTTCTTCTTCATTATCAACATCATCGGTAACATTTATAAAGTGTCTACTATGTACCAGGCACTATTCTAAGCATTTTATAAATATGATCTCATTTGATCCTTACAACAACCCTGACAGGTAGGTGCTATTGTTATCCTCATTATACAGATGAGGAAACTGAGACAAACAGAGGTTAAGTGATTTGCCCAGGGTCACACAGCTAGTAATAAATCATAGATCATAAATTTAAAGATAGAAGTAACCTTTGAGATCACCTAACTCAATCTTCTAATTTAACAGTTGAGGAAACTGAGGCACAAAGATGTTAAATGACTTGCTCAAAGTCATATTAGCAGTATATCTAGTAGCCAAGATTGGCATAGGTCCTTAGAGTCCAAATTTGGTACATTAAACTGCAACATGTTGCACCTGGCAAGCTCATTAGAATTTAAGCCTCTTCTTTGTTATAAGGGATAGCTCTTAGAGAGGGGGAGGAGGAGAGGAAGGGATACAAGGGGAAATCAAGATTCTAATTTATATCATCTATATTTTAGATGATACAAAAACCAAAAGGTATCCATGAAAACTTTTTTTAAAAAGAAATTTAAAGTCACTGCTTTCCTTAGCTATTCAACCAAAAAGTGAGTCACAATATGAACCTATTCTGTGAAAATGATGAGCTGGAAATTTGAAACTAAAAGAAATTATAAGAGTTTGTTCAGATTCTATGAGTTTATTTTCTTCTTCCTCCCACCTAATACATGTTCATTCTAGCAGTGGAATCACTTTTCCTTGCACTTGTGTGGGTAAGAATGGAATTAGGAGTTATCAGGAAATATGAATTACCACACAGTTCTAAGGCCTTTTTCCTGTAACACCTGAAGTGCCTCTGACCTTGATTATAATGTATTGTCTGAACTGGGTGTCCTGTCATTTTGTGAGGCACATTGTAAGGGGTAAAGTTAATATTGAAGAGGTTTAGGGGTTTTGGGGTGCTGGGACCCCAAGATCGTGGTACCGGGCCCTGCTGAATGAATTCAACTCAAATCTTCTTCAGCCAGAGGAAAAGTTTATTAGTGATAAATCACATTGACCAGGTGACGCCCGTAAAGACGAGCGGGCATGAGAAGTTCTCAGCCTTTTGAGCGTGAGATTCTCAGCTAGGTGACGCCCGTAAAGACGAGCAGGCATGAGAGGTTCTCAGCCTTGAGGGCCTGAGATTCTCAGCATCTGAATGAGGGCCAAGGTGGATCTTAAATACTAAAGTAACTTTGGGTGGCCAGAGAAGGGGGTTGGGAAAAGGGTCTAGGTAAGAATTCTAATTGAGGAGGTCAGAGAGATTGAATAGACAATGGAAATAGATAATGGAGGGAACAGGAAGGCAGAAGGTTGAAAGGCATCTGCACAAAATCAAGGTGGGACTAGGACTTTCAAAAGGAGATAAAGGAAGGCCTTTCTGGGGCCTATAGACAAGAGGGAGCCTAAGGCTTTCAAAGGGAGAAGAGGGGAGTCTATTAGGAAATTTGAAGGTTTTTTTCTAGGTCCTGTAGACAAACAGGAGCCAGATTCTATTCAGGGCAAGGGTTGAAGGTGCATCTGAATAAGATCTAAAGGTAAGCTAGGGCTTTCAAGGGAGATGAGGGTCTGGGGCCTGTGAGTCAGATTCCCTTTGGGGCAAAGGGTGAAGATCTTGGCTTGGGCCCCGCCCCTATCAAATACATCTCTAAATTTGGCACAGTACTGTGTACATATAGGGCAGGGCAGGTCCATTCTGTCTCTTGAAGAAGGAATTCAGTTGTCTAATCACTTCATCAATTTCCTCATGAATTGCATATGTCTTTGCGTGAATAAGTTTTAATAAAAGGATTCCTCAGTCTATTAGTATTTACCTATATAGCGCATCTGGAAAAACAAACTACCATTAGAAAGGAATGTCATCTTAAATCAGAAAAAAAAAAAGACCCAGTGAATTAAGCAGATTTTGAGGGGCCCTGGCCTGTTACTTTAATGGCATGAGGAATTCCTAATAAGCAATTCAACTATAACTTAAAGGCCTCAAAGTTACCCAGATCATAACTAGAAAAGACTTCAGTGAGCATCTAGTCCACCCCTCATTCTACAGAATGGACAACTAAAGGCCAGAGGTTAAGTGACTTGCTCAAGGTCACATAAGCAGTAAATAGCAACTCCACAAAGCTTGACTCAAAGTCCTGTGCTCTCTTCACTATACTAGGCTGTCTATGGCATTCAGAGATTGTAACCTGCCTATGATCAAAAAGTTACAGTTAAAAGCAGGAATCGAACCTATTTTTTCCTGTCTTTAAGGCTGGTCCTAGGTGGCACAGCAGATAGAATGCTGGGCCTGGAGTCAGGAAGTCTATCTTCCTGAGTTCAAATCTGGCCTCAGACACTTAAAAGTTGTGTGACCCTGGGCAAGTCACTTAGCCCTATTTGCCTCAGTTTCCTCATCTGTAAAATGAGCTGGAGAAATGGCAAACTGCTTCAGTATCTTTGCCAAGAAAGTCCCAAAAAGATGTTTGGGGTGCTAGAACCCCAAAACGACATGTGGGTCCTACCCAAATGAAATCGAACCAAGCCTTCTTTCAGCCAAAGGCAAGGTTTATTAAAGATCTGCCATATTGGTCAAACTGTTAAGGAATCTGAAAATTTGTGAGCTATTGGCTAGAGTATAAGAATCTGAGCCCTTGGCTAGTTTCTTAAGGAGTCTGAGCATTTGTGATACTTCTAAGGATGACTGGGCCCCTAAATGGCGACCAGGATGGATCTTATATACAGAAAGATTATGAGCGGGATCTAGGTTTGGGGTGACTAGGGGAGGGTCCTGGGACACTCTTGATAGGAGTGGCTGGAGGTTGAATGGGGTCTAGATAAGATCAAGGATGGGAAGTAAAGGGGGCCATCTGGCTAGTAATAGACAATGGAAGGCTAGACTCAATTAGGGTAACAAAGAATTGCAAGATTGGGAGTAGGTGATAAGGAAAGGCCAGTTGATGGGACTATAGCTTCAGGCAATTTCCAGAGAGTTCAAGGAAAGTTCAGGGACCGGGCTTTTGGGGGTTCATCTTGGGCCCGTACCCCATCACGTGACCAACAACAATGCTGAGTTCAAAGACTAAAAAGTAATATTTCACTACTTCAAAAATCTGAGATTTCATGGATGTGGTCCAGACTCCCTCTACAAATGTGCCAGACATCACACACCCTTGCCTTCTTAAATAGATCATTTAAGGATTTGTTATTGCCAAAAAATTCACCAGATGGCTAAACCTCTGTTGATAAACCTCTCCAAATTTAGGGAGTCTAACCCTGGGATGACAGACAACCTAGCCTGGAGCGTGGATATTGCCAAAGGACCTTTCCAAATGGGTGGGTCCAAACTGGAAATAAGACAATGATTAAACCACTATGAGCCACTAGGTGGTGCTAACATTTAAAAATGTTAGTGTAAATAAACTACCAGCAGGAGCTTAAGTTACAGGAAACTGCTTTTGATCCTGTTACAAAATTTAGAAAAGGGACAAAGGAGACTTTAGCTAGAATTTAGGGGCTTCATTTCTGATACTTGCAGACTCTGTGAGTTACCTTCTACTTCTGCTGGAGATGAAGTCCAGGTACTTGCCATTACTAGAAGTGTAACCCCGAGCCTGTAACCCCTCTC